GTGAAAGACATATATATATATATATACACACACACAGTGAGACCCGAATATAAGAGAGATTTTCTCCGGTCCCAAATTAGAGCCTGTGTTAATGTATATAAAATAGACCAAACCCGGATATAAGAGACTTCTTCTCCAGTTCCGACAACTCTCTTATATCCGGGTTACACTATATATATATATATATATATATATATATATATATATGTGTGTGTGTGTGTTCTTTTCCGCATGTGTTATATTTCAGAAGAGAACTGATAGTTTTAGGCTAGTTGCTTGCAACGATTAGTATTGTAGAGCGGAGAATTTATTTATTTAAAAATGTATTTTAACTCGGACTTTCGTTGCTCTTGTTGGCGTTTAACTAAAAAGGATACATCTAATGAATTTGGCGGTTCGGCAAAAAAGCTTGGGATCTAAATTTGCTATCCGTATTTAAAATCAAATAATACGGAACTTAGTCCAGGGGTTGCAATTTTGTTTCTTGTAATTCGGCGCGAAAAGGAAATTAGCGAGCCGAGTTCAAATTCCAATCGGATCTATTACATTCGCACTAATACATTCTTATGAAGGGCAACTCTTCTACCCTCATCTATGGGTTAAACAGCAAAGCAGACTAGACTGTCGAGCCAACAATATCAGCCAATACAGAAAGACGACCCTGGATTCAAACCCGCCGTGAAGGTAGAGAAACAAATCGATTATCTATTCAACGGATTGGTTAGATCAGGGTTTAAACTGTTCGGTTGATAGCATGTAACACAGTAAAACCTGTCGCATGATATTGTTGTAGAGTAGTTTTCACAGTGGAGGCTTGTATTTCAATAAGTCGTCCTAAATTAGGTTCGACGTACAAAACGTTAGGAACTTGAAATAAGAGTTAATGACGCAGCAATCTAGTTGTGATGGTTGGTACTTCAATGTCCGATATCGACTGACTCGCTCAACACCACTGGGCCAAACTGGCCACTGCTACTACTATTTATTATCTGTGAGAGAGTCTGTTTCAATAGAATAGGTATTATGGTATGACAGATATTTAGAGTAGGGATGGTTTCCCTACGATTGACTTGCATTGCCTCGAGAAATACACAGTGAGAAATTAATTTCCCTTTTATTCTGTATCATAACAGCATGATAATAAAAAAGAAAATATTAATCATTAAACAGAGTAACAATATTTTGATCAATTTATTAGGCTGTCACACAGGAAATAACGGTCATGGCTTTCCACAAATTCCTACGAGTTTACATCCACCTTGTTGAAACATCGATTCTCGTACGATCACTGAAATTAAACGAAGTCGAGCCTGGTCAGTACGTAAAAGGGTGATTGGTTTGTGAATACCAGGTGCTGTAAGCTTGGATGTGAGGGAGGTGTAATGGCTCGGAATTATTAATCGAAGAACCGCGTTCCAATTCTCGTTGGATTCACTTACGTGCAAGTACCCTTGGGAATGGTATAAATCCAATTCTTCTCCCTCCACCTATGGGTTAATTAGTAAGACTTATATAACGAAAACTGCTATTGTCCAAAAAAAAAAAAAAAAACAGAATAAAATTGCGTACAAAATATTTAGATTTCAGTATTAAATAACCCATAGAGGTTGATATGCCGCTAAGCAAAAACAATCAACCAATCGACTACCTATTCTAACGACGAAAATGCAATGTTATTGATTCTGACCTGGCATCTCGGCTTCAGTCACTTTCCCACCGCCCTAACATGGTTTCCTTGAGCCTTTTCTATAAATACTTTCATGGTGATTGTTCTGATCAACTTACCTTTATGGTATCTAGACTTTATAAATTTAAGTGCAGTACTAGATTGGCGGCAAGGTCTCATCATGTTACAATTGAAATAGAGAGATGTAAGTTCCATGATAATATTTTCTTCTATTGCACTTCCGTTTATGGAACCCACTTCCGAATTCTTGTTTCCAAGTCAACCTTTATTTTTAAAAATTCAAATTCAATTCTACTGTCTTAATTCCTGTTTTTTTTTTAACGTTCTCTCTCTTTAATAGTGCTTTTTGTTCTCATATTCTCTAACACTCAGTAACTATTGCGTCTTAGTGGCTTTATTGCCTTGGAGCGAGATGATTAAAAATCCTTTGTAGCTGTAAGCAATGTTTGTTGTCATATTATCTCACTTCTTCCTTAAAAAATAGTCAAATTTTCAAGCGCTTCTGAGGAGGCACGGTGGAGTAATAGATAGCGGGTGGGATTGAGGACTTGGAGAGCCGTGTTCGAATTCCAGCCGAATCAATTACATGCACTTACGTGCTTAGGAAAGGTATGAATCCTCTTCTTCTCCGCCCAGAATAGCAAGACAGACCGGGCTTGGTCTGCTGCAGAAAGAAGTGGCAACCTAATGCAGGAAAAATCTGTCTCGTCAGTCATGTATCGAAAGGTAGATGACCACCTAAGCGTATATCACGCATATTTTTATTCTTATATCTGTTGAAGGAATAAGAATGAGAAATATATTCTTAGAAAAGAGGTTACTTAATACATCAGACGTTTGAAGAAGATAAGAAAGTGCCGTTGTCGAAACGGTGGGACATAAACTAAACCGGAAGAAGACGAGGAAACACTCAAGGATTAATCAAATGCGAGCAGAACCGGATAAAAGAATGTCATTTTTGTTGATATAAACTGAGTTCCGCAAAGGAAAAAAATGCTAAACGGTAGATGACTGTTAAGGTTTGTGAAAAAAGAACCGTTTCGATTTCATAATGCAAGAAATTCAAAGCTTTTCGAAGACAAATTCAATTACACAATATCAGATTTTATTAGGCAAGTCAATATTTTCGCATTTAAGTTCCCAATAATCAAACGATTTTCTACAATTCTTACGATAAATATACCCTGACAATTTCAGCTTCTAATAACTGATTTTATTAGACATATTTACAATCATTTATTTAGAAGCGTGAGATTATATTAGACAAAATGGCGGTTGTTCATCTTGTGAATAAATCGGTAACAGTAGAATTGTTTATATTTATTTTTGAAAATTTCTGAGAAATCCATGGATCGTAAGAGAGATCAGTTCAAGACAAACAAGATAACAACAAGCTACTGATTGATGGCAACGCAAAATTTGAAAATTGCCAAACAGATGAACCGATAACGTAAAGGAATCATAAATGAAGAGAACAGCATTGGTAAAATAAAGGGTAAATAGGGACTGACTTCAAGAATTTCACAAAGACTTAAGAAAAATTAAAAGGGGAATAACTAAGGAACTTGAATTGATCAGTTAGATTTTGTAAATGGAAATAGAAAGAAAAACATAGACAATATCACGAATACTTTCAAAAGGCATGAAAGCAACCAAACTAATTAAAACTCACAAAAAAACGTCAAAGGGTATATTAAAGTGATTATTCAGACTGTAACCAGGAACTAAAAACCGGAAGCCCTGTTTCCGCCATTGTTCAGACACGGAAGTAACGTTTCGGCTATACTGTTTATGTGTGAATAAAAAGTAGGAATGTCACTTCTGCCGCCAGAAAGAAGTAACCAGACTAAACTGTTTTGTCGTTATTATTATGAACCACCTTACCAGGTTGTGACAGATATTTTTACTGGTGAATTTAGAGCTACATTGGTTGAACATAGTGACTGGCATAGAGACTATACTCACTGAACACATATCAGCTCTACATAGAAAACAAACAATGGGGTAGATTATTTCAGATAGTTAAATTATGGATTTCTTCAAAGTTGGCCATTTTTTTAGTTATACGACTAAAAATTTTAGACGAACCCTAGCTCTGGATAGAAACAAGCTGTGAAAAATGGCCAGGGGAATATTGTAGCTGTTATATATAATAATGACAATTTTAAGATTAATATTTATTATTAAAACAAATTTAATCTATGTCGTCGTTTAAAGTTGCACAAGGCATTATATGTATTTTTATAATTGAAAAGTGCCTGAAGTTCATAACTGCAGAGAATTACTTTAGATTTTTAGATCCTCACCCCGCCATTTTTTAAAACTTGGACAAGCAACAATCAAGAATCTTTGAGTTCGAGGGTATATTCGTCCAAGATAATACTTCTTCATCTTTTGTCTATTGCTCAACTTGCCAAAAAGATTTCAAAGACACCAAATTAAGGTAAGGGGCCCCCAGCCTTTCCAGACATTCTGATAGAAAACACGTGTTTTTTGCTGTTAAAAAAAAGGTTGTATATATGATTGAAAAACAATATTCAAACAAAGATCTGTAGTTTACAAGAAAACATCCTGCAAGTCATGTTAAAGTCTAAACAGTGGAAATTTTACCAAATTTAGTGGATGAAAACTGTCGAAAATCAAAAATCTCATGTTAGCATTTAAAAGTTATTCAGGTATATGAGAGACTGCCTTAAAAGCTATCGACCACAGAAATAGTGCTTTTAAATTTAAGTGGCCTATGGTTTTTAAGATTGTTTACAAATAAAACTTTATGCTGAACAAATGCGTAATAAAACCTACTCAAAGAAATTCATTTTAAATAACTGTAGACATTCTAAGTTGAAATTCATCTTGCTTCTACCAATATATCCTGATCATTTTACTAGCATCAGTTAATAAATATCAATTGTATTGTCAAAACATGGACTTACACCGTAACATCTGACAATGGAGTTAATTCTTTTAACCAGCCTTTACATAGATGTTATAATATCTCATATTCTATATAAAAAATTACAACTGACTGCCATTGAAAAAAATCAAAAGGGAATAATTTTAGCTATACCTCAGCTAATACGATCATTTCAGGTGACTTGAAGTGAGGTAATGGTTAGAGAGCTTGTGTGATTGACCGTTATTATTGAGTAGTTATTTCGAATCTAACTGAACTTCTCATGCATGTGGCCTTATGCCAAACTAAGCTGAATAAATCGTCAGACTCAAGGTAATTGCGAGGAATCTTGCAGACTATTAAGTGTGTATTCTACACACATTGGGTGTCAGAGATTTCAGAGTTTGTGCCAGACCCAAGTTACGTACGGTGCGGGAAAAGGGGGAACGACAAGAAGTGAGAAGAGACAAGGAGAACGAAGAAGAGGTGGGGAGAGAGAGAGAGGGCGAACGAAGAAGAGGAGAGAAAGAATGCTAAAAAAGAGAAGAAGGGGAGGGGAGAGAGAGAGAGGAAAGAAAGAAAGCGAAAGAGGAAAGGAAGGAGAAAAAGAAAGCGAACGAAGAAGGGAAGGAGGGGCGAGAGAGAGAGAGAGAGTAATGAAAGAAAGCGAAAGAAGAATGGAAGGGGAGAGAGAGAGGAAAGAAGAATGGAAGGAGAGAGAGAGAGGAAAGAAGAATGGAAGGAGAGAGAGAGAGAGAAGAAACGAAAGAAGAGAGAGAAGAAAGAAGAAACGAGGAGAGAGAGAGAGAGAGAAGAAAGAAGAAACGAAGGAGAGAGAGAGAGAGAAGAAAAAAGAAACGAAGGAGAGAGAGAGAGAGAGAAGAAAGAAGAAACGAAGGAGAGAGAGAGAGAAGAAAGAAGAAACGAAGGAGAGAGAGAGAGAGAAAGAAAGAGAAATGAAGGAGAGAGAGAGAGAGAAAGAAAGAGAAACGAAGGGGAGAGAGAGAGAGAGAAAGAAAGAGAAATGAAGGAGAGAGAGAGAGAAGAAAGAAGAAACGAAGGAGAGAGAGAGAGAAGAAAGAAGAAACGAAGGAGAGAGAGAGAAGAAAGAAGAAACGAAGGAGAGAGAGAGAAGAAAGAAGAAACGAAGGAGAGAGAGAGAAGAAAGAAGAAACGAAGGAGAGAGAGAGAAGAAAGAAGAACCGAAGGAGAGAGAGAGAAGAAAGAAGAACCGAAGGAGAGAGAGAGAGAGAGAGAGGAGAAAAAAGCGAAAGCAGAAGGGAAGGATGGAGAGAGGAAAGAATGCAAAAAAGATGTGGAAGAGAGAAAAAACAGAAAGGAGGAAGAAAAAGTGGCGGTAGAGATAAGATTGAAAGAGAGAGAGAGTGTGAGGAGAGCAGTTAAAAAGAAAAGAAAAGTAAATACTAAAGAAGAGGAAAGGAAGGAAAAAGAAATAGGAAATATTTTACGAGTGGCGGCAATTCGTTATATGTTTTGTCACAAAAACATCTTTCACATCTCCAGCTGTGTTTATGATTGCTATTTTCCTTCACTGTTCCCCACCCCGTTCCCATCGTAATCACGATTTTCTCAAAGCATAGATTTATCAGTTTTAATGTCTCCGTTCCTTCCATCAAATGAAAAATCTCTCGACCATTCTGGTTCCTTCAATCTGTGGCTGTCGTAAAACCGCCATGATTGCCGCGATATTTATCGTTGGCGAATCAGAAGACCAAGGCAAATTTTGAATTCCCGAGGTGTTATTAGATTAACTTTTATCTTGTGAAAAGCACGTCATCGAGTTAGAATTCTCATTACCAGCATGCACATTATAATGATTCTTTATAATGCCAAAAGATTATATTAAGTACACACTGATTTAACTGTGTCTTCAGATATTTTCATAAGCGGAACTCTTTTCAAGGTAAAATATTTATCCTTCTGATTTAACAGACGACTGAATAATTTTAAAACTTACTTATCTCTGAATTTCTTGTCCCTTTAACTCCTTCCCCGGCATAAACGTGCCAATACATTTTTACTCAAAGTGTCTTTTTTCAGACACGAACGAATAAACACGTTCAATAACATACCGTTTAAAAACCAACTACGGACGTGTTTATACGTCGATCTTAATTATTTTTATGCCCTTCTGAGCTTGAAACGAGTCCAATTGTCAACTAATATGTCTGAACAAGTCCAATTGTCAACCCATACGTCTGGTAGAGGTGTTAGCCACCGCACGGGTACTTCAAGGTACCTCAGTTTCCTAGATAATATATTAAAAGCAAATAAAAAGATTCGTTAGAAAATGAACCATTTTTGCCAAAATAATTGGTGGGGAAGCATTTAAAGCGAACCTCATAAATTGCTGTTCCTTTTCTTATTAATTTATGATTTGAACATTTTTTAACAATACGAGGCACGTTGAAGTCATGGATAGTGGCTCGGATTGAAGAATCAGAGAGCCGAGTTCGAATTCCTGAGGAAAGGTATAATTTCATTTCTTCCTTTATACTCAGCTACTGGTAAATAGCAGGGCAGACTGAGTCTTATTGTCTTGGGTGGCAACCGGTCTAGGAGAAGGACAACTCTGAATTCAAAACCTTAGGAGGGTCGTTTGCTACCTCCACCCCAGCTATATTTAAGTAACAGGGCAGAATGAGTTCTATATCCTTGGTTGGCAATCATTTTAGGAGAAGGACAAATTCAAACCAGCCTAGAGAATTGTTGGGCACCGTCAGGCTATATTGCCCAGGAAACACTACAGCGTCTGCGGCTCCAGTAAATGGTCTTTAACCTTTGACCCTCTAGGGTTACAAGACTCGTGATCGGGAACGATACAGGTCTCATTTATTCATGATTCGAGTCGAAACGATTAATTGGCAACGCTAGCACTTGTAAGGTTAGAGTAGAGTCGGATTTATGAGGTTACGTCATTTCTTGGAGTATTTGCCTGCAAATAAAGCTGCAAGGAGAAGCTAAATAAAGTGCTATATCACCAGACAACAAACGTTTTGCGCTGCTCTGGTAGCCGCCGAACTAACTTATGGTGGCTGGTAGTGCCGGATTAAAGAGGTCAGACTGCAGCACCAGTCTTCACGTTCACAGCTAAGACCTTCTATGCTACGGAAACTGGGATGAATCACACGTATTCCCTTTGTATTCCATTGGTAAGAAGGTAGTTGCATTCAAACACCTTCTTCCCCAAAAACTGCTACTTTGTGAAACAGGTTACCGAGGTCATGTTTCACGTTCATTACAATCTTACCCTTTTTCAAATCTATGGTTAATCGTTTTATCTCTTAGATAATCTGCACCTCTTATCCTCCCTCATTTCCACTCATACAGCATTATTCGTTAACCCTCTACCTTATGGGGCTCTTGGGCCACATATTGGATAAACATATGTAAAAAAAAGGCAGCAAGAGACAGGAAAAAATATAAAAACTAAAATCAAAAGAAAAGAAAACTGAAATTAAGATTATATATATCTTTAAACAAACATCTTTATTTACATAGATTTGTTTGTTTGTTTTTACTAAAACATTTATTTTGTTGGTCGTGGCTCCTTATTTACTCATTGTACCGACCGTTTTCAGTTGCGCTGTTTTGATTACCGTCGTTCCTACAAGACATTCTGAAGAAGTGTTGGACCAAAAAGTTCTCTTTAAAAGAGCGTTCCTTCATTTCCCAAGACACACGCATATATTAAAAATTCGATTTAATTTTAATAATTATATTGATGGTTTCGGCTCTTGTTTTTGAAACATGAGAACTCTTATGTAGCGAAGGAATCATATTTAAAAAACATAATTATAATCTAAACTCTACTTCTGTATGGAGCACTGTTTTTTAAAAATAAAAACAAAAATACTAAAGAATCCCCGGATTATTTACCTAACGTGTTCTTTCCTATTTTTCTACATACCTGCACACACACACACACACTCGTATATATATATGTGTGTGTATATGTATATATATATATATATGAGAGAGAGAGAGAGAGATAAACGACAGAATCTCACGAAACAGAATGTGAGAGGATGTGTATGTGTGAGGGATAAAACGTGTTAGAAATAGATGGCAGGTGTAAAGAGAGCGCTTATTCTACTGTGGGAAAAAGCTGGAGGCGGAGTTGAAGATGTAAAAACAGTGAATTAGGAAAAGAGAAAACGTTCAGGGAGAAGTGTTAAAAAAATAATCTGAAATTGCTCAATAAATCACTTTTGTAGAATGAAATTTTAATGGATTCAGTCGAAATTTCCTCAGCTTTTGAAAAATAGCAAAATATTGGAAGTAAAGCACTTAATGGGTTAGAATATTGAGGATTCTTTTTATTTGATAATTTTTTTACGCCCTTAAAAAATTAATTTCTCTCATTCTTGCTTTCTTTCCTTGTTTCAGATATTTGGTGAGAAATACATTTGTGACGGGAAAAAAAAAGATATTAAAGCGAAAAAGAAACAGTCAAAATAACAATACGGCCGATTTTCAATATGGACGTATTGCTAAGGTTTGTGAGTAGGTGTGCTTATGTTTTATTGGTTAACCATGTCACGTGACGCTAATTTTATTAATATTAAACGCAGATTCGACGAATAAGCTGTCTGTGCCAGGAGAAAGTTTTAATGATAAATGAAACGTTTACATGGAAATCGTTTGTCAAGGAAAGAAAATGTATAATTATTTACGCGCTGCCCCACGCAGCAAGATGTGGCACAAGGCCGAGTTTAAAACAGAGTATACAAGCCCGTAGGCACGGGGAAAATTGCCTATAGACTACGTAAAAAACGGAGTCAGTTTCCAGAGACGAGACTCTACCCTTCGGCAGAGCCTCGTCTGGGGGATACCAGTGCCAGGTAATCCTGGAAATCGTTCGTAAAGGAAGGGAAATGTATAACATATTACAAAGGACAGTCTCTCTATAAATAAATGTATTCAAATATTCACCCATTTTACATTTATTCTAAACAAGGCCGAGCAGTAGATAATGTTTTCTTGTTTGCCAAATAAAAATGCCGGAACGATTATTTCTTTCAATTTCTACTCCCGACACGGTGTTTATTTGGTAGGCACTATTATCTTTATATTACCGTAATTCCCCATGTATAATACGCATTTTTTCTACAAAATAGTATGCAAAATCAGGGGTGTGTATTATGCACAGCTAAAAAAAGAGTTTTAAAAAATTGCCGTAAAATAAAATAAGAATTATCATAGAACTAAATTAGAATAATATTATTCTATGTTTAAAAGAATTTTTTTTAAATCAACAGTAGGAAACGCTGGCCATAATAAATTGAAGAGGTACAATTTATAGGATTTGATTACCAAACAAGGGGTGCGTATTATGCATGAATAGAAGAATTTTCCCACACTTTCGGCACAATTTAAGGTAGGCGTATTATACCTGGGGAATTACGTAATATTATAATATTTATTTAATCATTTCACCCAAAGCAAAACAAGGTGTTACTGAGTGTGAGATAATATGAAAGAGAATATGAAAAAACAAAAAAAAAACACTTTTGTTATGAGGCGGGAATCCTTCATCTAAGTCATATGCCACAACAAAGCTATGCTTAGTAAGTGACATGGTCACTTTGAAGTGGTGTAATGATAGGCAAGTATATCTCGCTGGATGAATTACGACTGAATAGAGCGTTCGATCCTTATACTTTCCGACTTGTGCCACGCTTATTAAATCCATGCTGGAGTTGCTCAAAATCGAGTAGAATTACTTACTGTAGGCTTTTCCCTACCCACTCAATGTCGTAAGACTATCGCTATTTCCATAACAGATTTTAAGAGTTCCATACTTTAAGTTCGGACACCGCGTCTACGACCATAGAGTCGAATAACTATCAGTCCATCCGTATTCCATTTGTAAAGAGGAAGTTTCATTCGAACAGCTTCTTTTTTTATTATTGTCAAGAACTGCTACTTTATTTACATTATTCGGACTTATCATTATCTTCATTGCCATATACACAACGTTTCGGCCGTTGTGCGCTCCGGTCTCCTTTAGGTGATTAGAATTCCGAACCAAAACCTTTATTTCGTCCACCTCCGAAGAAGGCTGGAGTGTACATCGGCCGAAACGTTTTGTATATGGCAACGAAGATGGGGATAACAGTCCGAATAATGTTTATAATCATAATACCTCATCTAATAGATAGAGGCAGATAACTGCTACTTTGTGAAAGAGACTCTCGCTTGAATGATTTCCAGAACATTAAAATCTTAACCTCTTCAAGTCAAAGGTCAATCATATTCTCTACCTTTTATCCTCATTTCTTTCAATATTACACACCTCATTCAATTATACTGCTTAAACTTTAGAAAGTAAAAAAAAAATGATCAAATGGTCAGTGGCTTAAATGTTTGTTGATTATTTTTTACGGTTTGTCCAGCTTTT